TCAGTTGTGACAAAGATGATGAGGATGGCACAGAACAGGACCGGGTTCAGATCTGTTGTTTATAGGGTTGCTATGAGTTGTACTCAACTGGATGACACCTACCAACAAAAACAACGTGACCCTGTAGAACAGAGTAGAACTGCCTTCATTGGGTTTCCAGGTTGTCACTCTGCTGTATCCTTCTCCCATGGAGTAGCTGTAGGTTTGAATCACTGTTTGGCTAGCAGCCAAGTGCTTTACCATTGTACTACCAGGGTTTCTATTTATTAGTCAAATGCCTGGTAAATTAACAAAATTAAATGCATCAGTTTAATTTTCCATCAATCTACTAAGTCATTTGGCCAGTGTAATAAAAACGAATGACCAAAAGGGCACATGACAATAATTTCCAAGAAATATCTGGTCACATAGAAGGGATCTCGTTTTCTTTTCTTGGTGACATTCTGTTTAGATTCCCTTTTCAAATATTTCCCCCTTTTTTGGCATCATTTACTTTCTGCAGTCATGGCTTAGATAGTCTCCTTTGATATGAAACTTTCTTTGAATGTTTTTTATGACTTTAAACTTTAGATTAAAAACTTTCAGAAGCAAAAATAATTTGAACATATATGGTGTGTTCTAGTGTGACTCTTCAGGAATGGAATAGGGTTAAGGATTTCTTAATACTTAGATATTTCTAGGGTTTACTGTTTCTCTTGAAAATATAAATAATTTCTTCCTGATCAAAGACTTTCATCTCCTCAATGAAACAGAGCCTAGAACATCTTTGAATAGCTAATCCAAACAAGCAGTTTGTTTATTTATTTATTATCTATTGTTTTCCACCAAGTTTAGTTTGGTCTGGCCAAAGTTTGTGATATAAAACACTTTCTAGAGTACTTCAGAGTGTGGACTTAAGCATGCTGTTCCTATCATACAGTTTTCATAGGTTTGTGATTTCAGAATTCTAATCTTAGAGAATTTCCAGAAAGCTAAGTGGATGAAAATTCAGAATACAGCCCAAAAATTGTATTGCAAAAAGTATTTCATATAAGAACTAGCTTCTTAGACAATAAGGCATGAGGATTAGACTATGACTGGTAACATGTGAGGTGTTTTCTTTTGTATTGCTGGAAATCTGCTTACTGGTTCCATATTTCTATTCTTGTATCATTTTTAACTTTCTTCAATGAGGTATTAAGAATAGTAATTAAACAATCTCTCAAATAAAATTGTCCCCAAAATGTCCATGATTTAGGACCATTTTAAAAGAGGAATCACGGTTACCTTTTATACAAAGTGGGGTCTGGAAAGACTATGACTATGAAAGAGATAAGATACCACACTTGACTGGGTAAACAAATATTAAATAGAGATAAGAAAGTAGTGAAGAAAGGACTTAGAGGTGCCAAGAGTTGGTAAATTACTTAGGATAAATATGTACAAGTCAAGACAGAAAGGTGAGTCTTTGAAATACCTGATTTCAAGAGCTGAAAAATTGGCTGCTATTCAGAGAATAACAGAATGGTAATAAGAATTGATTTAATGAGAAGAGATTAAAGAAGTTAATTATAGGGAACTTGGATAAGTAATTATTAAGATGCAAGATGGGACTCTCCTAGCATTTGATAGCTCAGAAGTACTTTGGTGGCTTGATGATTAAAGTGTGCAGCACAAGTGCACTGACAGGATGCCCACCAAGACAGGAGATCAAGTAAAAATGCATCCAACTGAGCTGAATGCCAAGGTATATTTTATCTCCAAAATTTAATAAATAGATAAATTAGGCTATGTATTCTCCTTATCAGGGAAAAACAGTAAAACATTTCTCATGTAGTAATAAATGTTTCCTGGTTTAGACTAAAGGAACATACAATTTCCCCCTGTCACATATATTTTCTATAGCCCAAATTCCACTCCTAAGGCATTGGCCAGTATGGGAGCATTGTTTACTATTACAGATGTGTAGGGTTTTTTGTTTGTTTTTTAAATATACTTTTTTTCCCTGGTTTCTGCAATAATGGCTCTCTCTTATAGATCTTCTAGATGCAGTAGCTTGCTACAGAAGCAGTATTAACACTCTCCAGTGTGTGGTATGTGGGCAGCTGCCACTGTCCTGGATGGGCTTATTATCTCACTGCCTTGCTGAAGCCCTCTTTTAATTGAAAATAATAACAGAAACTAAAACATTATTATGATGATGCTGTCTCTGTAAGCAGAAAGAATGTAATTTCTGAAGAAATGTCCAGCAGGGTATAGGCACTTTCTAAAAGTTTTCAGAATGGGTGGCAAGTTGAAAATAAACTTATTTCTAAGCATTAATGTGCTTTGCCCCAGGAACAGAGTGTTCCAAAATCCTCTTATGTTTTTATTTTGCTTTTATTTTTTTTTAAATATAAAATGTATGAAACCCTACAGCTTATAAATCTCTGATCTCCTCTATGTTCTTCTTATTGCGCCATCTGCCTCACTTACACATATGTTGTTCCTTTTCATTTCAGAAAGAGCCACCCAATTCCCTAATACAGCATCATGGATTAAAATTGTCACTTCACAAGAACATTGAGCACAAAGAAAGTGTGAAAACTTTGACTCCTCTTACTATTCCTTAATTATGAAGATTTTTCTTATTTTAATAAACCTTCAAATAGTTCTGGTATTTTTGCTGGTTTAAATGTAAATTTGCATAAGTATAGATAATAATTATAGATGTATTTTAGTGATTTTCTATTTTATCTATAATTATTTTTAATTACTAGGCAAATTACAACTACTACATTATTTATGGAACTTTATGGGAGGTAGCAAAATATATATACATATTTTTTAAAAAACTGTATTCTTTCTAAAAATGAAATTGTGCATTCAACGCACTTAACCTTTAGTTACTAAATTTGATACCAAAAAATTTGTAGTGAGAAAAAGGGACATATTACTTGGTCATCTTCTCAGATAGTCATAAAGATTTAGTACAAATACTTTCCAAATTTTGCTTAGGGAGGTTGTTGGAGCTGAACTTTGCTGAAGTGTGCTATAAACAAAATAAAGCATGATATCCGATAAATTTGGTAGACTATCTAGTGCCAATTTCAGTAAATGCATTTACTTTTGGTAATTGTAATTTTTTTTGGGTTTTTTGGTAATTGTCATTTTGTCCTCATTGATTTTAGAAAAGTTCATATCAAGCACCACTGAGGGTTTTTCCCCCCTTTCTTTGTTTAATCAACTGTGTCTGATATTTGTAGGTATTTATATTTAAAAAAATATTCTTATTAGAGCCTTTAATCAAGAGCATAATCTGCCACTGTAGTCTTATTTTAATAGGAGGTTTAAGCTTGGTTGACAGATGTATTACAATATCAATTTGTATGTTCACATTCCACCTTCCAATAAACACTCAGATAAGAAAGTCATGAAATCATCTCTGAGTGCTATGGCTATTAATTGATTTGCATGCTGGCTATTTCTAGTCAGGGACACAGTTGGCATTATTCTTAATAGAACTTTTACTATGATCATATGTCGGAGCCCTCAATTTCTATAGCTTGGGCTTGACTTGCAACTGACATGGCCCTTGATCACTGTGGCCTGTATCCTTAGCAGGAGAAAGGAGATAGTCCCGAGTTAGGCACAATTCCTCAGATCTGCTTTGGTGTTACTTCATCTTTTTTTCTTTCCTCCCTGTTTTTGATGGTTATATTTGTCCAACCAGCATGTACATCATCTTTGGATTTCAAGATTCAAAGGCCAGCTATACAGGATAGTCACGTGTTCTCTTCAGCCCTGTTCTTTATCCTGAATAGTGAATATCGAAACAGATAAAAAGCATGTCCCAAGGAATTGCCTCAGAAACCACTTCTATACACATTTACCAATAATCCTGTCATACAGGCTCTTAAATGTAGTACAACCCATGAACACTTTAGTGTGGAAATAATGTATTATATAAAGCTTAATATTAAACATTATGAAAAAATACATATTTACAGAAGAAACTACAAAATACAACTATATACAATGATATCTGTTACCTTTAAATTACATAGATTCTTTAAAATTCTCCAGATTAATAAATTATACACAATATCAACAGAAATAGCAGGCACTTTTCTAGGGCATGAAGCAAGATACTGTTTCGTTTTCTTGTTTTTAGATCACACCGTGAATAGTTTTTGTCCAGGAGATCTTTGGGTACATTCTTAATGCCTTGAATAGAGTGCATCTGAAAGTAAAGACATTGCAATTAGAGTTGTTTGTTCTGTTTATTAAAACCACAGATTCGAAAGACTAATAGAAATAACTAAGCTTTAAAGTGATTTAAGAAGCTTTAATGTGGCTAAGGATGAGCTCATTCCTGCGGAGGCCTGGTCATTCCCTCTAGAAACATCATTCACTTACTGATTGCTGACGAGTGGGAACTGGATCATAGCTGACCATCCAGAAGGATTTTAGAGGCTGTAAATATTACCAGATAGAATTGATCTCATCTTTCAATCTTAGAGCTCTAGCGGATTTGAAAAGTCTACCTTTGGGTTAGCACTGTAACTTCTTACCCACCTTGTACCAGAAATCCCTTTTAGAACCATAGATTATTATAATCAGCAGTGACGTATTCCAGTTTTACCTTCTTCCCTCTCCTCCCTTTCTAGCTTGGTTTTACAGGAAGGCCACAAGTTTTTTAGGATTCTTAGGGGCATTTAAGACTGCTTTAAATAAAAGAAAGACTCTTTAATAAGTCAAAGGAATTTCTAAGATCCCCAAATCTTCCTTCATCATCCTGCAGGTTCTTGAAGAATCCGCATGTGAAAACCTTAATTGTTTACAATACAAAGGAGTATGTGTTTTGCAAAAGACTTAAAAATAGTAGCTCTTGTGTATTTGTGCTTTACAGATAATATTTAACTGACAAGGTGGGTGGCATAGGGGGTGCAGAGAACAACATAACATATTAGGAGACGTTGACAATTGAAGATCGATCAGAAATGGAGATAAAACAGAGTTTGCAAAATATTTCATCTGATTTAAATATAAATATCACTTCTTATGGTACTAAATTGAGACCTCCTCTCAGCCACCTGTGACAGAGCCACCTTGAGGCACATCCTCCAGCCCTGGTCCAGCCTTGCCAATGTCTGGACTGCAATTTTAAGAGAAATCATGGGCCAGAAAAGAAACTAAAAATATTTCAAGAAATGCTGGGATATTAAATGTAGATTTAAGCTGCTAGGCTATGGTGTAAATTTTTAGGCTTAACATATGTATAATGTACCTTCAACTTTTCACTTTCCTTATGTGATAAATTAGGTCTTGTTAATGCTGACCCAGAGTGGAGAAAAGGCCTGCGGATTTTTTTCTCTTGTCCAACTATTGTCTGATCAAAGTTTATACAATATTTTTCTGACTTATTTTTTCATTTAAGAAAATGTTACATGCTTATTCTATTCAATTTAGGAAATACAAAAGCTAGAAGAAAAACTGATTCGAGATTTACTAATTTTAATAGATTTATTTCCAGCGTTTTTTCTTCTATGCAGTGCTTTTGTTTGCTTCATATTCTAGCGGTTTTTCCTCACTTAACTTATTTTTAAGTATAACCACATTAATATTATGTCCTTAAAGAGACCATTCTTAATGATTGCATTATAGCCTATTAAGAGAATACTCCCTGGTGTTCTTAGTCCACTTTACTGTTAATAATTTATTCATTCTTTGAGCTCTGAAACAAAAGCTTTTTTAGGCCTCAGAATGGTATGCTGGGTCACAAGATAAAGATATATTAAGGACCCTACATCTATTATCAAATTTTTCTTCAAAGTGATTTGATAAATTGAACTCCCAATTATGTTTTCAAAACCTCCCTAGCAGTGTGCTGATCATTGAGAAATGTTAGGCAGAGTCCTTACTGTGGGGCATGCTAGGCTAACAGGAAAAAGATAGCAAGTGAAATCAGGTGCTTCCATGTGGGTGTCTCGCCTCAAGATGCCTCTATTCCCGATTGCTACTCTTTGTGACATTAGGGTATTAATGGTTTCTAGACTGATGATATCTTGGTAAACAAATTTAACAGTCAATTTCATAAGTGCCTACCTCTGTGGTAATCTGGATTCACATTTTCATAGATTGGAAACAAGGGGTTTTCTTGTTCACTCCGTAACTTTCTTGCTCTGAGGACATCTCTTACACACTGATGGAGGTATACATACTGACTCTGTGAAAAAAGCAGAAAACATGTCAGAGGAGGGGTTGAAAAAAGGTGAGGAATTCTCACAGAACATCAACAGTGTTGTTACATGTTACCTGATCATTTTGACCTGAAGTACAAGTGAGCCAAACACTGCCCATCCTGCACCGACCACACCATTATATAATGCATTTGAACCCACTGTTCCAGCCACTTGTCAGTTCATATCCTTGAGAGTCTTCCTCTCTTTTTAAAGTTTTGAAAGTCTATATAAAATCTCATTCCACACTCTTTAGTCTCTGGAAATGTGCTGGCGGGTCAGCTAAGAGTTAGCCCCAACTCGACAGCAATGACTGACTTTTTTTCGAATAGTCTTTAATATACAGAAGAATGACCATTTTTATCATCACTGAGAAGAGATAATGACAGTGAGCAAAGAAGTGATGATTGTACATTCTTTCTCACATTATTGTTGCTACATAACACTGAGATGGAACCAACTTATAGCTGACCCTGCAGTGAGTTTTCAGAGGCAGTAAATTGCCTACGTCTCTCTGGTGGAGCAGCTGGTGGATTTGAACTTCATGCCTTTGGATGGGCTGTGCAGCTTTTTATCATATCACAAAGCCACCAGAGCTCCTCTATGAGTACCTACAGTTGTGTGTGGCACAAAGTAGATCCCCCACAAATATTTACTCAATGCCACACACTGTGACATGTACTTCACATTAATGATTTCATTTAATTATTACAACAACCTAGTGAAATAGATAGAAATACCCTTATGGACTCAAAGATGACGAATAACTTCTTCACAGTCACACAGTAAGAATTAGAATCCTAATATTTGATACTGGTTGTCTGACCTCAAAGTTCATGGTATTTATCACTATGCCAGTTTTTATTACATAAAGTTTAAGTAATGAGGAATGGCATCCACTTGCTAAACAACTTCCTCAGGAAACGCTATGAACTTTGATAGATGTTGATAGTTGTAAAGGGGCTTTAGGCCTTTTGTTCATAGGGTCACTATGAATCATGCTCAACTCGAAGGCAATCAACAACAACATTACTGAATGAGAAAAATCTTCTTCTCATACCGTTATTACCTGTTTTTATGGAGGTGATACAACAGAATGTTGAAACTATTGAACAGTATTATTAATATCATATGCAAGTAAAATATTGCAGTAGACCCTCCAAAAACTGCTAGAACAGTACATAAATAGGGAACTGTTAGCAGTTCAAGCAGGATTTAGAAGAGGCCATGACATCAGGGATATATCATTGCTGATGTCAGATGAATCCTGGCTGAAAGTAAAAAATACCGGGAGAATGTCTATTTGTGCTTTATTAGCTATGCAAAGGCATTTGACTTTGTGGATCATAACAAGTTGTGGCTGACATTGAGAAGTATGGAAGTCCCAGAACAGTTAATTGTGCTCATGCAGATCCTATACCTGGAATAAGAGGCTGTTGTACAAACTAAACAGGGGACCACTGCATGGTTTAAAATTAAGAAGGGAGTTGTATTCTCTCTCCATACCTATTCAATCTGTATGCTGAGCAAATTATTCAAGAAGCCAGACTCTATGAAGAGAAACTGAATCAGAGGGAGACTCATCATTAATCTGCATTATGCAGATGACACAACCTTGTTTGCTGAAAGTGAGGAGTACTTAAAGCACTGGTTATGAAAGATCAAGGAATGCAGCATTCAGTATGGATTGGATCTCAATGTCAAGAAAATAAAGATTATTTCACTAGAACAACAGGCAATATCATGATAGATGGAGAAAAGATTCACAATTAACACCCTTAGTATTAGTATTCAGGAAATAAGGAGGCTCATTGCACTGGGAAAGTCTGCAGTTAGGGACCTCTCCCAATTATTGAGGAGTAACAATGTCAATGTGAGGACTAAGGTGCATCTGAATCAGGCCATAGTCTTTCCAATCACTTGCTACACATCTGAGAGCTGAACAATGAATAAAGACGACAGAAGAATTGATGCCTTCGAGCTGTGGTGTTGGGAGAAGAGCACTGAATATCCCATGGACAGGGTGCAGCCGGAGTGCACTTTAGAGGCGAGAATGATGTGGCTTTGCGCACATACTTTGGGCGTGTTGCTAGAAGGGGCTATTCCTTGGAGAGAGACATACTGCTTGGAAAGGTGGAGGGTTGGAAAAGGAGAGGAAGACCTTTGATCAGATGGATTGACATGGTGACTGCTGCAATGGGCTCTAGTATTTCAGGAAGTATGGAGATGGCACAGGATAGGACAGGGTTCAGACAGTTTTCATAGGATCTTTATGAGTCATACTCGATGGCACCTAACAACATGAAATATAATGAGAAAAAGAATTGTGCATTATAGGCTCACTGGGTGGTCAGGTTTTTGAGTTTTTGAGGTGTTTAAAATCACTGTCTTATCCATCTTTGCTCTCTCAGCCCCTAAGTCTGGTACATGGAAGAAGTTCAAAGCCCTTGGCTAAATTCCACAGAATTGCAGAGGTTTTGAGGACAAATGATGAGGGCAGACATATACAATAGCTATTTAGAAATACAGATATATGGAAGATTCAGAGTTCTGATAATCTTCAAGATTTCACAAAGACCTCTACTAATAATAGTCTTGGCCTGAGACAACCAAATGTATACTTGACTGTTTTTTTTGTATTACCAACAGTGCTCTTTAATGAGGGCATAGGTTTCTGTAGCCTCAGTGTATAGCCTTGACTCCCAATCATTACATAACAACTGCTCAGAGCCAAGGGAATTGGGGAAGGGTCCTGGGGAGCTGAGGAATGATGCTGGGAGGAGAGTATGGCACCATGTGAGAGAAGCTGGTTAGTTTTCACCTGGCTATGCTGAATCATGATGATTCTCGAGATTTCAGTTACCCTGTGTATGAAACAAAGAGGTAAAGGTCTCCTCTAAAGCTCACACCCTACATCCATGAAAAGCAGTTTTTAGAAAATACAGCTTGGTTTTATCACTAGACTAATGTTGAAAAAGAATTCTGCATGCAATGTTTATGGTAATTAATGAGGTCAATCTTGAGGCACAAAAAGGGACTATAAGGTCTTCTTTAATCAATGGTATTTAAAGTGGCTAAGTACTTATTTTTATGGGTTGGTGCTGGGCATAGCTCCTGATTGGAAAGTAGACCTTATTGTCCATTTCTTGGACTTCATTACATTGTTGTTGTTGGGTACTGTCAAGTCAGAACCGACCCATACATGTTCCGCTAGCAGTTTTTCAAACCAACTGATTACGTGGGAGGAGAGACATTACATTAAGAAATAATCCCCAAATAATCATAGTGATATTTGAATTGATATTAGTAGTCAGTATTTGGATTTTTGTCTCACCTATCTTGCTCACTTCTCTCAGTATTGCAACTTGAAGCATGAATTTTATTTTCAGTTCTTTCAGCTTGAAAAATATCAAGTAAATTCTTCCCTTTTTCTTCTCTGACTTCAGCTCTTTACACATTCCATTAAAATATTTTGCTTTGTTTTAAGTTGCCCTCTGAAAATTTCTGTTCCTCTCTTTCACCTCTGCACCTCTTCTCTTTGTTTTGGCTTCTCGATGCCCTAGTGCAATTTTTAGGATCTCTTCTGATGTACCAAAAAGAACTGGTTGACATAGAAATATTTTAAGAGTAACATATGATCAAGAGCTAATGATAATGAAAGTAGAAATTCACACTGCACTGAAGGCAGTCCCAGGGATTGATGAGATGTCAACAGACATGTTTCAACTAACAGACACAGCCCTGGATATGCTTACATTTTGTACCAGGAAATATGGAAAATAGCAACTTGCCTAACATTCAAAGTTATTTGACTATATGGATCATAACAAACTATGGTTGACATTGAGAAGAATTGGAATCTCAGAACATCTAATCAGGCATATATGAAACCTATACCCAGAACAAGAAGCTATTGTTCAAAAAGAGCAATGGAATACAGCATGATTTTAAAGGTGGGTGTCAGAGTTGTATACCTTCTTCATACCTATTCAACCTGTATGCTGAGTAAGGATCAGTTTTTTCTAGCCATGTGTCCACAATATGTGAAGCAGAGCTTCAAAATCCTAGCCTTCAGGGAAAAACTTGATTTTATCTTCTCCAAGACAGACTTATTTGTTTTCTTGATGGTCCAAGAAAACAAGTCTCTTCTCTTCTTTCACAATTTGAAGGCATCAGTTTTTCTTCTGTCATCGTTAGTTATTGTGCAGATATCTTATGGATAGCAATGCTGTTGTTGTTAAGTGCCACCAAGTCGAGCATGACTCATAATAACCCCATGAATGAAAGACCTGAATTCTGTTCAATAGCTATCATCATTTCTCCAAGTTTTAGAGTTTCCATGTTGTTTAGGAAGTGGATGCCACTCCTTCTTCCAAGCCTCTCTTAATGTGGGAGCTCCACCTAAATGCTGTCCATCATGGGTAACCATAATGGCATTTGACACACTGGTGGCACAGAGTTCAGCATCACAGCAACTTCAAGCTACCTTAGTACAGTGAATTGACAGACAAGTGCTGTACCACTTAGAAGAATGTTAGTCCCAAACACAATTAACACCAGGCTTGAGGAACCAACTGATTTACAAGGCACCCTCCACCGGGTCCTGTTGACTCTAAAAAAGAGGCTTCTAGTAGTCAAGAAATCAAAAGGCATAAGACATTGGGAAAGTCTTCTGTAACAGAGCTCTCCAAAGTACTGAGGAGAACTGATGAGAATTTGAAGACTAAGATGTCACTGATCTAAGCTGTAGACTTTTCAATCACTTGTAATGCATCTTAGAGATGGACAATGAATAAAGATGACAGAAGAAGAACTGACGTGTTTGAGTTGTGATGGTATGGAAGAGTACTGAATATTTCATGGACTGCCAAAAGATCAAATAGATAAATCTTGGAGAAAGTGAAGCCAGAGTGCTCTTTAGAGGCATGGATGGTGAAGCTTTGTCTCATATACTTTGGGCATACTTTTAGGAGAGGCTTTTCCTTGA